CCAACCTGCTCTCTCTCTCTCTCTCTCTCAGCATTGTATAAACCCCAGCCAGCCATTTCACCGCATTATTTTAAGCCCAACTTGCTCTCTCAGCATTGTTTTAAGCCCAGCTAGCCTTCTCTCAGCATTGTTTTAAGCCCAGATAGCCCTCTCTCAGCATTGTTTTAAGCCCAGCTAGCCTTCTCTCAGCATTGTTTTAATGCATTTTACTGCCCCTCAATAATGCTTTCTTCCTAGAGCCCTGAGTGTAACAATCATACGAAATCATAATATATAGTGTCTCTAATATTCTATGCTAACAGCTTATGATGTATCGCACAACTGCGTAAATGGATACGCACGGCCATAGGTACATGATATATGTTAAGATTCAGATGAAAAGTATATATTATATGGACTAGTTATTATTTATTCGTTTAATCAAAGTTACATGAGAATAAAATCTAATTTAAACTAGGCTATAGTTGCGCGAGATGGCGCGTGCAGTGTAATGAATAATCAAAGATGGCATCGTATCCTGAAATCCTACAGTAGGTACAGGCTAAAATCCAAGTAAGTATATTCAGCGAGTGCTCAGCTGTGAGTTAACAGGTGCATTGCAGGTTGGCAGCCAACAATTATGATTAGAAGTCGTGCCAGCCATTGGCTGCCTGTGTTTTTGCTCATCGCGAGCATTCACTGATTCATCATTTAGCCTTCAGGCCCAGGGGCAGGGTGCGCTATAGACACTGCTTTAGAAAATCATATGATTTAAGGAGCTTAAACCTTGTTCAACAAACATTTGCCTTTGGAATTAAACTGTGCAACTGTAGCCCTCACATTGACACAGGTATGGGCTCTAATAATAGCAAAAACAGTTCAGTCCTTCTGTTAACAGTCAACAAATCAATGTTTAACCCTCCTCTGAGGCGTCAAGAGGTTATCCGACACTTACTCTTCGCATGTCAGTGGAAAGCTATTATTCATGGTCCTTTCAATAAAAGCCATAAAAATGCTAGGTCACCACTGAAACAAAAAAGTTTCAATCGCTCCGTCACACATGTCTCAGAAATGTTCTAAAATCTATGCCCTGCTGCCATTGACCCTTTGACCTGTGACCTCCAATTTCGTCACAGTGATGGCTTTTCCTACCATGATGCTATACACCGACTATCACGAGCCTAGGTCGCAGCGTTTAGATTTGTGCCGCAATTCTGCATTTCCTCCCTATACCTTAAGTTAAGGAGTGA